AGCTAAAGATTTCAATAATATAACCCTGAACCTCACTGTTTACCAACAGGAAATGTATTTCTAATTTATATCACAATCCACATAGGTGTCTGTTTCCCAAGCATTGATTTAGAGACTGAGGGTTTTTCTATACTGCAGCTTGCCCACTTTCAGAACTTTATAACATTCTACATTACTTCTGTATCCAATGAAGATTTAAAACAGAGACAGGATATGCTAAATGACACTGAGGTTTGATGGCCAAGACTGCAAGAGCTATACTTCTTCCATTCTCCAGTTTTCACCTTCTAGATTGAGTCTCATGGCTCAATCAGTGAGAAATCTGGTATTCCAGATGCCTCCAGGAAAATGATGAGATTCAGCACTTACATGACTGTCACTTTTGCCACAGAAAGCCACTGGAATAGCTCAGGAAAGAAACAGTGTTTCCTGGATGAAAATGAAAAGAACTTGACAGGATCCAATATCTTGAAGACAAGGTATATAGCATATATGGTTATAATGAGTCATATCATAGTCCACGTTATGATCCTGGATTTCTAGTTTATAATAATGTATGATGACAAAGATCAGAAAACTTCTATTTGTTTAAGTGAAAATGCTTAAGAAGGATGAAATATTGAAAAGTACCTAGGAGGAGAAGAAAAGCCAATGTATGACCACAGATTTCCTAAGGAAATGATAATTTAATAATTAGGAGGTGTGACCATGTGGTAAGCCTGGATGAAAAAGCAGGCCTAGGGTCAGGACCATGCAAAGAGTCACAAAGTCATAGAGAAAGTGAAGCAGAGCTTGTAGAAAAAGTGTGGTCAGCAGTCTAGGGACCCAGGAATCTATACCAACAACTGCCAGCTCGTTGTGAGTTTTCTCCATGAATTTTGTACTGATGGAGACCTAATATAAAAACATGTAGTCATACTGTACTTCTCAGAACTTGGATTTTATTGTGTCATTCTGTTCAAAGAGAAGAAAGAGGGTACTGTTAATTGATAGTCATAAATATGCTATGTATAGGATGTAGATAAAACTGGTCTTGCCTCCGGGAGTTGGAATGTTAGATCTGTAGTAAATGTGCCATGCTTGAGCCAGAAAGAACCCATGGTAAAGCAAACTATAATCACAAGTAAGCTATTGACCATTGTAACAGCAAAAGGGTTATTTGTGACATGTTTATAGGAAATGGTTGGACTAGCAATCAGTGAAAATGCTCCTTATTTATCAATTAAAAATTAAGTAAAAAATAAGTGAAAGTTCAATAGCTCTAAAATACAGAGTTGGGTCCTTGGGAGATGCTTTAGTGTGTAAAGTACTTGCTATGCAAGCATCGGGATTGGAGTTCAAGTACCTGGGACTTACGTAAAATTGGGCACAGTATCACATGTTTGTAATCCTAGTACTGGGAGGTTGGAGGGAGATGAATCCCAAAGACTCTCTGGCCATGTAAGACAATAAGCTCCAGGTTCAGTGAGAAATCCTGTTTGAAAAACAAGGTGGAGAGCTATAAACAAAAACACTCAAGACTGATAACTAGCCTCCACACACACAGGCAAGTACACCTACAAACACGTATTCTCACACATATATACACCACACACACACACACACACACACACACACACACACACACACACACGCATGCACCCGTTCAGTGTGTGTGTGTGTGTGT